TAAATCTTGTGGGTATTTTATCCCAACCACAGGCGGAATCGGACTTCAGATTCATAATAATCATTTCAATCTCGGACAGATCTGGTTCAACAATACCAATCGAGTTTGTAACAGCGGGAAAAGAGTTGAATGATTCTTTGTAGTCATTTGTGTTCGGGGCAGGTGATATTTCCTCAGCAAGTGTTTTGCCTACATAAATAAAATGGCTGTTAATTAAGTTCGCCGACTCTATAGCTGAACCTGTAATATTAATTAAATCTTCATTTTTTGATTTTGTCGAGTTTAAGTTTGTTATAGTTTTTATGGTGTTCCATAAAAGTTTGTTATTATTTTTAGTTTTAAGTAATTGTTCCCTTTCGTATTGTCGTCTTAATTTTTTGAGCATGTTGTTACAATAGTTGCGATATCTTCTGTAGGTTATTTGTAAAATTGTGTTTGTTGAGTCCTGTTTTAGTTGTTTTTGAAGTTTGTTTCTGTTGTTAATGCATCTTAGCATACCGGGTGTAATCCAAGGTTTTAATAGTCTTTTATTGCGAGGTACATTGATGGTTTTGGTATTTTGTGTCAGAGATGTGGATATAACATTTACGATTTCCCGAGCTAAATCCTCCGGCTGATCAATTGACAACAGTTCAGAGGTTTTATGTTCACGCAAAGTAGCAAGTGCTCCCGGATAGTCTATAATGGTTTTCGCAATGTTACGCGATACCTGTTTTGTATTAGAATGAATATAAATTAATGTCATTAGATGGTCTGTTATGGTCAATTCTAATACGGCTATTGTGGCTGAGAGCTTAGTAGGGTCTATGTTAGCAATAACGTGGTCTATACAACTATTAACTCTTGTGTTATATCTATGTCCAGGTAATAGGCCATGGTTTGAGAGCATTTCTAGGTAGTTGGTACCACGATAATCCATCGTTTCTTCCATAATGTTTATATTTATATCACCTATGATAAGAATATTTTTATCATATTTGTCATCGTTTAGAAGAGCATCTAGAGACCTCAGGAAATTATCTATATTTTTATTTGACGGAGATCTATATATACACAAAAAAATGCAGTCCGGTAAAGTAACTTCAAGACAAGATGCCTCTGATATTGATATTTCTTTTACTTTATGTTCCAAGGAATTGTTAACATAAACAGCAACACCATCACTTTTCGTGACTTTGAATGTGGTGCAATAGGCTAAGTAACCTGACCTAAGGGGTATCGGTATATTGGGGTTTAGCCTACATTCAGTAAGTACAATAATGTCAATGTTTTGTGAAAGTAGAGTTAGGTTGGCACTTAAATCATCGGAATTCTTATAAATGCTTCTGATATTTTGGTTTGCTATAGAGTATGACGGCTTCAGAGATGGTAAGTAGTCATGCAAATTATTTATGGAACACGAGAAACTCTTAATGTTTGTTAAATTGTCTAATTCATGCATAATTTCCTGATTGTTTTTATCCATTATTGAAAATAATACAAGTAAACGGTGTAGTTGAAAGGTTATACCTGTAACATTTAGTGTTTTGAAAAATATTATGGTATTTTGCAATTGTTATACTAGCTAGAAAAGTCACATACAATGTTCTATAAACACTAAAACTGAATGCAAGATAAATTTTAGAGTAATAATAACAATTAACTGTATTGGCATTGTACCACAATTTCAGTAGAATACAATGTTTTATATAATTATATATTGATTTAGTTTTTTTTAAAGAGTAATGAACTGGATGATGTTTAAGAATTGTTGATTTGCTTGACTGTATGAGATAAAAGTACCTAACTTTATTTATTTTGTGGAAAGTTCTATTAAATGGAGAAATACAAATGCAATAATAAGAAATTAAAAGTAAAAGTAAAGTTACGTAGTCGGCTAGTCACTCATTCATCAGATTCTGGATTTGAGATTCACTGTGAACTTGTATTATAGGAGATTTTTCGTCTTTTCTCAGATATACACGTCCGTATGAGGTCCAACAAAATTTATATCCTTTAGATTTTTTGAGGTCTCTTGCAAGAAAGAACAATCTAGATGCAAACGGAGTCAGATTTTCACTAATGAAGATTGGGGTATCTGCATATTTCTTAATGCCCAAGTGTTTAGCAGCTAACTTATTAGATTTGTTGCGCACGTTGAATTCTTTGGCACTCCTTAGGATTTGATCTTTAGAAATGGTTGAATTGAGTTCGACAATTATTGTTTTTCTTTCCGTTGATCCTTTGGACTTGTAGATGTCTTTGATATCGCTTTTTGATAGGTTTAAGTCCAGAGTTTTAGTGAAGTTATTCACTAAGCCAATTAGCTCTTCTTTTGTTGTATGCGAATCAATAGGTACATTTTTTATTTCAATGGAACTTTTTCGAGAGTTTCTCATTAGTTCCTCAAGCCGGTCCTCTATTATCGCTATATGTTCATTCTTCTTTTTTATTTCCAACTCCAGGTGTTCTATTTTATTTTTGAACTCGGCATTTTGCTCTGCTAGAAAAGATATGGAGTTTTCTATACCCTTGTTAGCTGTTTGAATGTTGTTTAATATTGGAAACAACTTTTGCAACTGGTCGTTTTGTCTTTCTGACCAGGAATTAAAGAGTTCTATCATTTCCTCGCGAAATTCTGAAAAGTCATTACTCCGTTTTCTCTTCATACGGGTGGTGATATAGCCACTTGTGGATTCCTCATCTGCTGTGTTTAAATTAGGTTCCGACTGTGTCTTGTCTAATAGTTGTGAATCCATATTTAAGTTATGCGGCCCTTTTTGTTCGTAGTAAGTAACAAACCAAACGTAGTCCTTCCGTAGTGCAGTCACCGCTACGCGATCGCCGTAGCAAATACACTACGGCAAGAGAGCGAGAGGAAAGATGTTGTCGATTATGCGTATGCAGTGATCATATACATACAGCGCAGGGATCAGAGTACTAGGCGCGCATACGGTTACAAGCAGTCGAAAGTGGGCACAGCACGACGTGACATTAGACAGGGGCAAGCACGATAGAAATATAAGCTGGTCTCACCCACAGTGACTCCGCATCCGCGCTTGTTGTTTGGCTGGATAAATAAGCTCCTTGCGGATTCGTCGCTCCCAATATTATCACTGAATTTAATTTAGATTTATGCTATTTTATTATTTAAAATTTTTACAAGAAGTTTAAATGCGACTACTCATTACCGAGGTCCGAGGGGAAGAGGATTGTAACTAATTAAAAATTAAAAATTTTGTACAGCCGACTTCAATATAAGTTATTAAGAATAAATTAAAAAACTATTGGTCTGCCCTTGATCAAATCATATGGGACCACGCGAGAAGTACCAGCTTTAAAATAAAAAAGAATCATCGAAATCGGTTCACCCAGTAAAAAGTTATGAGGTAACACATAAAAAAACATACGGTCGAATTGAGTACCGTCTCCTTTTTGGAAGTCGGTAGAAAAAACAAAACTTGGAGGTTAAATCGACTTCCAATCGATTACTTCCATGTTTATAACGGAAGCAAACTTCGGTCCGGGGGACAGAGCGAATTCAATTTGAACATTCCTTCTTATCGCTAAGTTAATTGATTTAATACACAAAAAGGTTTATGAGCTCTTGGAGAAGGCTTTTAAATTGAAAAAAAAATATAAATAAATTTAAGCAGCCTTGCAAGGATTAGACAGTTACTTAAGACAATCTTAATGACATCTAAAAATATTTTTCAAGGTGGTATAGTATTCACCGTAAATTCCATCCTTTGAATTCGCATTTCCAGTGGAAAAATGAATTCAAAGGATCTACCGACTCCAAAAAGGGGACGGTATTCAATTTGACTGTAGGTTTTTTTATGTGTGCTACCTCATAACTTTTTCCCTGATTTCGATGATTCTTTTTTTATTAGAAAGCTGGTGCTTTGGTGGTTAAATATAAATTTTATCAAGATATGACTAAAAGTGTTTGAGTTATTCTTAATAATTTATATTGAAGTCGGTTGAAAAAAATTTTTAATTTTTAATTATTTATAGTAGAATTTTACGACACTCACTACACGTAATAACTTAATGAGTAGTATTAAGTCGCCATACCACGGTGATTTAGATAAATTTACCAAATTATATCAGACTATTAGATATTTGCCACCTCTCCAGCATCTTAAAAACGGTAAGTTCCCGGGCCAGGATGGAATTACAGAAGAGCTTCTGAAAGCGGGTGGAAAACCGGTACTTGAAGTCCTCCAGAAGCTTTTTAAATCCGTCCTCCATGGTGGCACTACTCCGGAGGCGTGGAGCAGAAGTGCGCTGGTCATGTTCTTTAAGAAAGAGGAGCATCTCTTGAAGAACTATAAACCGATTTCCCTTCTGATTCGCGTCTACTTGCTGTTTTTGAGAGTCATTACGAATCGTCTCGCGCGCAGACTCGACGACTTTCAGGCTCCCGAACAAGCCGGTTTCCGAAAAGGCTTTAGCACCATAGACCACATACATACCCTTCGGCAAATTGTACAGAAGACCGAAGAGTACAATCTGCCACTTTGTCTTGTATATGTGGACTATGAAAAGACCTTTGGTTCTGTCGGTATATTGAAGTGCTGAAATGATTGTACAGTAGAACTAAGATGGCTATCCGAGTGCAGGACCAGAGTACGAAACCTATCCAACTGCAGAGAGGTGTAAGACAGGGTGATGTTATATCTCCGAAACTCTTCACCGCTGCATTGGAAGATGTTTTCAAGCTTCTGGACTGTATTGCAGTAATTTCATTTTTAAACATATATGTATAAGTATTAAAAATAATTTCTAAATTTAATTATTTAAGATCCCCGGCAGCTTATATTTTTATAAGATATTTTTAGTTATTTATTTATTTATTTAACAACAAATCTAAGTAAAAAACACAGGTAACTGCGGGTCCTAAACTAAGCGCAGCTTGTATCTTAGGACCCTGACATGCAATATTACAAAATGTTTATTACGATATATTACAACGTTTTTAAAATCATTATATTGCATTCAGAAACGAAAGTATTTTTATGATATCGTATAATCGAGTAATTCGAGTAATAAAGAGAGATGAAAACCTTTTTTCAATAGTAGAAAACATATGCACGCAAGTTGGTTACACGATCCCCAAACATCAAATAAATTACATAGCGAGGGTGCCGACACATTTTGGTAAAGATAAATCTATTATTGTCAACTTCATCAACCGCTACATAAAGGAAGAATTTGTAGCTGCAGCGAGAGCCAAGAAATTCATGACAGCGAAGGACATTGGGTTTGTGGGTAACGAACAACGTCTGTATGTTAATGACCACTTAACACCGTATTCTAAGACTTTTTTAACTAAAACCAAAGCTATTTGTAAAGATAAAGCTTATCAATACGTTTGGGTAAAGTATTGTAAAATTCATGTTAAAAAAATGACACTACGAGGGTTATGATTATAACAAGTGATAGTGATTTAAACAAGTTAGCTTAAACTGCCTCCAAAGATATAATTTGCTTAACTTAGGTCTCAGTTTAATTACATATTGTTTGATTGCTTCTGTTGTACATTACACTCGTAATGAAATGTTTACAACCCCTGCTTTGCAGATGTATCGCTTTTGTTATTCTGTGTTCTTTTCTAAAACTCTTTGTTTGATATATTGCTCGACGTATAATTGTTCCTACCCGCTTATTCGATATATTTTAGGTAACCGTATGCATATTGTGCTCGCTTTTTTCGCTCTTATACCCTGTTTGGTATTAAATGATATTGATTGCACTTATTCCATGCTGCAAAAATGTTTTAATGTATTAATATGTTATCGTGTTGGTTTGCTTTCGTATCATGCTATTAACCCCAATATTAATAATATATTTTTAATTACTTATTTTAAGACTTTTTGCACTCCGCTTAGTTTAATAATCTTGATTTTTAGTTGCATAAGCATTTGTGTTCACCTGCTTTTTCATTACACTTTAAACATTTTTTTTAATACTAGAGTTGGCTTTCTCGCTATTCCTCTTCGTAATATGATGTTGAACGATATTGATTCTATTATTTTTTTTAATAATGTATTTATTATTACAGCACTGTTTTGACGTGATAATTAGTTACCATGTTTATTCGCTATTTGTGTTTGCAGTTAAAACCAAATTAAGTAATTTTAGTTATTATTTTAAGATTTTTTACATATTGCCTAGTTTTATAATTTCGATTTTATATTGTTTTTATTTTATTTTTAATTTAATGATTTACAACGGCTACGTTTTTTATTAATAATACGAATAGCTCTTTGTTTAATATTTATTATCAGAATGCACGAGGTCTGCGTACTAAAACATCTGACTTCTACCGTAATACCTGCTCGTTTAAATATGATGTCATTGTTATAACTGAAACGTGGCTTCTGGATGGTATTTCGAACTCTGAGTTATTTGATGGTCGTTATGTTGTATGGCGCCGCGATCGTGATTATGCTGGGACGGGCCAATTGTACGGGGGCGGTGTACTCATTGCGACACGCAGAGAGTTGTCTGTTGAACCTCAACCGAACTTTAACTCCAGTGCTGAAGATCTTTGGCTCACGCTTACTGTCATAAAAAGCGATACTAAAATTCCTAATTTTCTGCATATTTGTGTGTTATATATATGTAATTTACATGGAAGTTTTAGTTTCTCAGATCAGTTATTGAATTTTTTTACAAAACTAAATGATACAGTCTTAAAATATCCCACGGATAAATATCTTATAGTGGGTGACTTTAATTTAAGTAACATAAAATGGATACCCGCATCTAACTGTTCCAATTGTTGTTACCATTGCTATGAGCCAACGAACTATAGTACGCACAACAAACGGTTACTGGTAGATGAAATTAATGCGCTTAACTTTTGCCAATATAATGGTATACGCAATAAATATGGTAAAACACTCGACCTTGTGTTATCTAACTGTGATGTAGCCGTATCTGATTGTAGTGACGACTCTTTGGTACCAGTAGATCCCTTTCACGGAGCGTTAGTAATTGAAGTACGTTTTTATGAGTTAAGCACACTTAAAACAACTCCGTTTATTAAGTTTTTTTATAACAAAGGTGATTATCAATTAATTCATCGAAAATATGCTGAAATCGATTGGCAAACCGAATTTTCTTCGAAATCTCTTAATGATTCCATTAAATATTTTTATGAAATATTTGAGAAATTAAGAGATAAGCACATACCGTCAAAAATAATTAAACCGGACTCTTACCATACGTGGTATTCCCCAGCATTAAAGAAAGCAATTAAAGAAAAACATAAGTACCTTCGTAAATTCAGGACCTACGGTAATAGATCCGATGAAGAATCTTATAAAATACTGCGCACTCGTGTAAAATATTTGGAAGATATGTGTCATAAAAACTACATATCAACCGTTGAAAGGTCAATAGTAAAAAATCCTAAATATTTCTGGTCATATGTTAAACGTAAATCAAAAACTCACTCTATTCCAAGTAGTCTCAATTTAGGTAGTATAATTTATAACACAGGACAGTCTATTAGTGACGCGTTTGCAACTTATTTCAAGTCAAATTTCTTATACCCGGTCGCTCAATCAACTCCAAATATTTCTAATATAACATCAAAATCGACTGCAAATATTTCAAATATAGAAGTTAACGTTAAGCACGTGTATCGGTTATTGAAAGCTCTAGATCCATCAAAATCCGCCGGACCTGATAACCTACCAGCCATTTTTCTTATTAATTGTGCAGAGACGTTAACACTACCAATAAGTTTGCTATTTCGCAAATCGTTGCATGAATGCTCAGTTCCTGATATTTGGAAGCGTGCATATATCACCCCTGTGCACAAGAAGGGTCTTAGGACCGATGTCGCTAATTATAGGCCAATTTCTAAGTTGTGCATCATTTCCAAAGTCTTTGAAAAGTTGATTTATGAGCAGGTATATCCGTTACTACACACAACGCATAAGCCAGTCTCAACATGGTTTCTTCAAGGGTAGATCTACCGTTTCCAACTTGGTGCTCCTCAATTCTTTCTTGACTAAAGCCATGGATGATGGTCATCAAGTTGACGTTATTTATACAGATTACAGTAAGGCTTTCGACCGGATTGAACATAATTTGCTTTTAAAAAAGCTTCAGTATGTTGGTATCTGTGGAGATCTACTGCGGTGGTTCTCCTCTTATATCGACAATCGCTCGCAGGCTGTAGTTGTTAACAATTACATATCAGGTTGGGTGTCAATACCGAGTGGTGTGCCACAGGGGTCCTTGATGGGGCCGTTGCTGTTTCTTATATTTGTCAAGGATATTGAAATCTGTTTTAAATCATCACACCTACTGTGTTTTGCTGATGATATGAAAATATTTTCCACAATCTCATCTCAGAATGATGCTGAATTACTGCAGCGAGATCTACTAAGATTGGAAGAATACTGTAATATCAATAAGCTGGATCTAAACCCATCAAAATGTACCCTTATTACATATTCACGCAAGCGAAACTTAATTAATTTCGGCTATCACCTTAAAGGCCAAAAGTTACAAAAAGAACCTGTTGTACGTGATCTAGGGATTTTCCACGACTCTAAGTTATTATTCAACACCCACGTTGACAATATCATAACTAGGGCATCTAAGGCGTTAGGTTTTGTCATGCGTACTGCAAAGGAGTTTAATAATATTAAAACAATTAAAATCTTGTACTGTACTTACGTCCGCAGTACGCTTGAATATGCTTCACAGATTTGGAACCCGATGTATCATACATACATTTCACGGATTGAAAATATCCAACGTAAATTTATACGATATCTTTGCTATCGTACCAATAGAAACTACCGATCAGAAGACTACTTATCCTTATGCAAACACCATCATCTGCTACCTCTGATAAAGCGTCGGGAGATTGCTGACACTGTATTTTTATTGAAAATCTGTTCTGGCAATGTTGACTGTTCTGATTTGCTATCACAAATATCACTGAGAACGCCTGTAGTGAACCTTAGAACGAATGCATTACTCTACTTACCAGCTTCATCAACTAATTATGGAAGAAATACTTTCATGTATCGGGCTATTAACAATTTTAATAATTTATGCAAAAAGCATGATTTTGATTTGTTTCATACTAGCTATATATCGGCAAGGCGGGCATTAAGTCGAGAATTTTTTAAGTTATAATTTTATTTATTTTAAGAAAAATTATATTGTGTGTTTCGTCCTGTTTTCTCTTTTCTTTTCTTTTGTGGCTATTGTTGTTTGTTTCACTTATTAAATTTATGCATGTTGTACATTTAAATTAGACTCCATTTTTTGTTGCTCATATTTGTGCTATGTCCTTTAAACAACGAAATCGATTATGTTACTGTATTTCTATTAGTGAGAACCTGTTATTGGCTTTTTTTTGTAAATTTAACATGTTATTTACTTAAGATTTGTAAGCTGTTGGTTTTCCATAACATAAAAATAAAATAAAATAAATAAAATAGGTTTCCCAATTAATGGGTACAGTTCTGCCGTTAGTATAAGCCTTTTCACCGCTTTGGAATACAACTAAGCGGAATTAATTCTTTATTTGTAAAGAGTCCACTTTGAATACCAATCTCTACAATAAATTTATCATTATTCCTCCGTCAATTTTCTTCTTTGGTGAATATTTAAATCATTCAAATACCTAAAGACTTCTTGATAAATAATGCTTAAAAAAACTAAACTAATTTTACGTGTTTTGATGGCTGAGTAATCCATGATCACTAAGCAGATGTTTGTGTTAAGATGGAATTCGACAAACACCGATTACGACTACGAATTTAAATCTCGATTTAAGTCGAGTAACGCTACGCCTAACAGAGCGAATGATGAAGGACGATGTAAAAGTTTATGTCAATCATGTTGTATTACCATTGGAATTAGCTAGCTAGTCTGTATACATCAAATAATTTATTACAACTATAAATAATAAATTAAGAACCAACTGACACTGCACTCCACTTAAGTTCTTTTTATTTAGGGAAAAATGGACAAAAAATGATACTGAATGGTACCCGAGAGATGGAAAAAAACGTAAAGGACGTCAGAAATTAAGATGGGAGAATGACATCAAGCAAATAGCCACAACAACGTGGCAAAGAAAAGCTGCAAATAAGGAAATATGGAAAACCCTAGGGGTGGACTATGCCAAAGGGCAAGCTGATAATAATATTACCGATGTCGAAGATTAAATTGAATTGTTATTTTAAAAAAAATGTTATTATAAAATATAATTTAGTATGTAAAGTAATTTATAAGATTTCTGCAATTATAATAATTCTCCAAATGTTATTATGTATTTTCAGAAATAAAGGCTATTTGAACTATAATTTTCCCACTGTCGCTCTTGAAAGCGTACCACTGAAGAGAGTGACAAGTTTTAATTACCTGGGACACTGAAACTATGTACTGGGGTAACTGAAAATATGTCAGATGATTCTGACATAGAGAGGGAACGCAGTGCTCTAGCTATACGTGCGAATATGCTCGCCGTAGATTTGCACGGTGTAATTCAGAAGTTAAACACACTCTCGTCAGAGCCTATTGTCAGGCTTTTTACACCTGTCGAAGCCATGGTCCGGAGCGAGACGGAATGGGATGCCGTCACCACCTTCTGCGAAGCAGTGATGCTAGCGAAGGAGGTGGCGGAGCGGGAGAAGGAGAGAGCAGCAGCTTTCCTTCCCGGCCGCCGCGGGAGACGCCCCGGGCGTCGGGGGCTACGTCGTGGCCCCCGGCCACCGTAGGCGCGGGCCTGTGGACGGCGAGCAATGGGTAGCTCGCCGTCCGTCCGTCCGTCTAACGACGACAGGCCGTGTCGACGGCGCGTTTTGTTCCACGCGCGCCTCAAAGAGCTGTCAGCAGCGTGAAGGGGCCCGCAAGGGCCGACGCCTGCCGGGGCTGCGGGCTGTTCGAAAGAGATACCGCGGCTCCGGAACGTAAGGGCACTGAAGGAACACGGATGGTTTTTAGTCAGTAAAAGTCTGACACTCCCTTCCGCTCCACCCAGAGCGAAAGGCGTCATTTGATGATTTTCCATCCGCAAAAAAAAAAGGCTTTTTACACCTGCAGTCTATGGGTTGAGTATATACAGAGAACGCTTGCAACCCTGCGCGTCTTATATAATAACGGCTTTAGGATGCTGATGGGGCTGCCTCGTTACTGTAGTGCTTCAGCAATGTTTGCTGTAGCTCGCATAGACAGTTTCCCAGTTATCATGCGCAAACGGGTTGCCTCCGCATGCGCCGCGTCCGGGACAGCTCCAACAGCCTCCTGGCGGTGATAGTGAGTCGCTGTTGCTGTCCTATCTTGAAGCACTGGAACAGCGTCCATATCGGCTCGAGACCTGCTCTATTTTATATAAAGTAGATAGAGTAGGTAATACATGGAACTTTTTAATTTTATTTATTTACTAACTCTAGCTTATAAGTACTTTTTGTAATCACTCACCCACTCTGTGGAAAATAAATATGAAAGAAAGAATAATAATATTAATAACGAAAAGTTTACGTAATATCAGTAAAATTTAAATAAGTATTTTATAAGTTGGTCGACAATTACTTTTTAACTTGTTAAGCCTACTTAGCTGTGATATTTTCCCTTTTAACTTCATTATATACACTACGTTTTACATTAAAAAATATCGGTTCAGTTGGTAGAGGCGGGACACACAGCTCTAATAAAAATACCACTTTACGACCCAAAGGATCCCTAAATCAAAAAAATGTTGTTCCATTCCCCCCAATATTTTTGCAAAACCTATCCAACGACACCCATTACGATGAAATAGACGGTTAAAATAATAGTCTGAATTGGAAGTAAGCAAAATAAAAATGTTTTTCAAGATTTTATATACAATTTTGCAGGCATTATTAATATATACTAGCTGACCCAGCAGACGTTGTTCTGCCTTTTCTGACGACTATTTGCTTTCCTAAAAAAACTCCTAAAATTAGCAATAAAAAAATTGAGGGTCACTTATCGGGATAAAAACTATCCTATCTCTCAAGTTGGGCCAAACTGCACACAGTGTGCAAATTTCATTAAAATCAGTTCAGTACTTTAGGAGTTCATCGCAGACAAACTACGTGACACGTAATTTTTATATATAACGCCTGATTCTGTTGATTGTCGTACCAATACTGAACAGACCTATTAGGTCATTAGGAAAGTCATTCGTTTCAGTAGCCAGCTTCTTCCAAAGTACGTCGTATTTAACCGTATCAAAGGCCTTCGATAGGTCCAAAAAACAGGTTATAACATGTCTACTACGATTTGTGTAGTAACGTACGGTGTGTTGGAGACAATGTACAGCACTTTCTGTGGATAACTGCGGTCTAAAACCAAATTGTGCATCACACAACACAACCTTATTCGTATAATTTGGAACTGGTTTATATAATATTATGCTGCCTACGGTGCTATTGTGACCGTACATCATTCGTCAACAGTACTAAATTATAACTAAATGTAGGCTGAATGGACTGAGTTATTTCAGAACTTGTTTTTATGTTGCTTCCTTGGGACGATTAGTTTTTTTTATAGGAGAGAAGGCAAACCGACGGGTGCAAAGTAAAAAAAGTCAACTGCAATTTTGAGATTTTTGGTTTTTTGTAAAAACTAACTTAAAATATCATGTTCTACAACATAGCAAAATCAAAAATATAAATATCACCTTATTTTTGGTACTTTTGTCACGTAAAAGAAGACAACTACGCCTGTTTTGTGAAATTGCACGATGTAGATGCGGACAACTACCGCTGACCGTTTATACGCGGGACGCGCGGGGGGCCAGCGGTCAGTCATATTGCGTCATCAGTCAGATGACATGTGCTTCGCCGGCCGGCACGAATATTTGTTTGTTTTTGTTTGTTAAGTGTTATAGCGTGTGTAAAAGTGTTATCATATTAGTAAACAGTTTGAGTTCAACACAAAAGACATGGAAAGACGTAAATTATTGGTGAATTTGGGCAAAACGGGACGACAATGCGATATTATGAACCGAGAAGATCTATTACAACTTATCGATAACAACCGTGAAACTAGTTCTGGTACGTATTTTTTATAATACAAGTTTAATGTTATTGTTATTTTGAAGTTAAATCATAATTAGTTTTTGTAATTATGAAAATAGGTTATCATTGATATTTTTTTTTACGAAACGACGCATAAACGGCTATCTGCCATATAGCTTTTTCTACGTTGCGATTGTGATGTAGATGTCTCAATTTACTTTTGTAAATTAGTATTGTTTGTTATGTTTATGAGTACCTACCTATGTTAATTCTTATTGTTAGCTATATATATTAATTGACTTATAATTAAATTATATTTTCTTACTGTTTTACTGTTGTTTCATGTTCAGAAAGTCCGAAACGACCTTTTAAAGAAGATGAAAGCTTACAGAACATAAGCGATGGATTTTTCGACAAAAATGCTGTGTTGGCCGATGAAGTTATTGAACATCTTATAGAAGACCTTGATGTGTCAGCGATGAAGACAAATGAGTATTAGTTAACTTCGCAAGATAAGTCCCCATGTTCTGTGTACTCTAGGTCGGTCACACCAGTTCACTCTCAATCTGAAATACAAATTAATTCAGAAAATGTTTATGTTGATAATAGAGATTCTCCGAGCAAATTATCGCATACACCAACGCCCTCAGAATACAACTCATTTACTTCAAGTCCGCCGCGTCCATTATCAGAATTAGATCAAAATATCTGTTTAATAAACTCAGGCAGGCTATCGAGTATGTCACTAATTTCAAACTGTCAATCTTCTATAAGCAACACTAGTGATGCTTCTTCGGCGGTGGAGGCATCAAGTGAATGTTCTACACCTTCGTCGTTAAACGGTAGAAAAAGACGTCAGTTCAGTATTGATAGATCAAAGAAAAGGCGATTGAGAAATAAAGACAAGTGGATTGATACAAGACGTAAATTACTATTAAATTCAGGTAAACAACATCAGTCCAGAAATGGAAAATTGCAACCTGCGAAACATCTTAAGCCGGCATGTGTTATTTGCAAGTTTAACTGTAGCGCAAAAATATCTCACGAAGATAGAAAACTTATCTTTGATCGTTTTTGGGATCTCTGTGATCACGAAAAGCAATGGGTTTTTATAGGTAAATATACAAAACGTTATATGAAACGAAGAATTACTACAGAGAATGATTCTAAACGCTAACACAGTGTAAACTATACACTTCCAATAAATTTAAAAGAAACCAGCCCTAAAACTGTAAAAGTATGCAAAACAATGTTTAAGAATACGCTGTCGGTAAGTAATCAGTTTATACAGAGTGCTCTTGATAAATATGATAAAAGTACTGGTAACTGTGAAAAAGACTTCAGAGGTCGTCATAACAATAAAAACAAGGTTTGTACAGCCGCCATAATAAAAGGTGTGTGTGATCATGTAAACTCGTTTCAACCAGTGGAGTCACATTACACAAGAAAAGACACAAACAAAGTTTACTTGGCTGATTTAAATTTCTCCACGATGTTTAAGTTGTACCAGACTTGGGCAGAGGAAAATAGTATTGTGGAGAGGGTACACACAGCGCGCCAGTACCGAGACATAGTTAACAAGGAAATGAACATAGCCTTTTATATTCCTAAAAAAGACCAGTGCGACGTGTGTATAGCATTTAAAAATTGCCTTCCTTCACAAACCAGAGCACAAGATCAGTACAATAAACATATACAAGATAAAAATATAGCGAGATCTTTGAAGAAACAAGACAAAAATGAAGCTACTTCTAATCCTGAAACTGTAACTTCGGCTACCTTTGATTTTCAAAAAATTTTGTCGACACCACACGGAGAAACCAGTTCATTTTATTATAAGCGTAAACTTTCTGTCTTTAATTTTACTGTTTTTGATATGGGACTTAAAAAAGGAATATGTTATATGTGGCCTGAAACTATAGCTAAGCGGGGTTCGAACGAAGTAGCTAGTTGCCTTTATAATTTTATACAACAGTCAACTAATAGAGGCATCAAAAATATCCGCCTGTGGTCCGATAACTGTGGCGGTCAGAACAGGAACCGTATTGTGTTTCTGATGTATGTATACTGCTCTCAAAAGTATAGCATTGATATTCATCACAGATTTTTGGAGAAGGGTCACACCCAGCAAGAAGGTGATAGTGTCCACGCATTCATTGAGAAATCGTCGAAGAGAAAAT